GATGAAGCAAAAACAGCAAAACGTTAATGGTAGAATCTGGGTGATAAGCATATGCATGTTCACTGTACAGTTCTTCCAACTGTTCTGTATCAGTTTGTCTGGTGAGTGGTGTCAGCCACTCCAGAAGAGGAAATCCAAAGAAATGCACTCACTTTACCAAACTCTGACCAATTTCTTATCAAAATACCAACACAACTAACATTTATTGCCAGCCTTACAATTAATGGAGAAAGTGTTGTCTCATCGGTTCCAAAGGGCTTGGTGGTTCTTGGGCACAGCCACGTATCCCAGTTTCCTGAGGAAAGGTGATCTGCACAGCATCCTCTCATCCCACAGGTACTCAGGGGAGAGCACCTTGGTGGGCTTTGGGTACAGCAGGTACTTGTTTAGGTGGCTCTCGTCATGCCACTCAGCCTCGATGTGATTGGCGTGGTCCACCATAATCGCCTGGTGACAGGCCTTGGTGAGCTTGTGCACCTCTAGCACTGAGCCCCCAAAAAAGCCGCCAGCAGAGTAGGAATCACCTTCATCTCTCGGAATGTGGGCCTGAGACAATGGGTGGCGTTCATACCTGAAGGCCTGGTGATCGGCAACATAGAGGCCAGGGCAGAGAGTGCCAAAGAAGAAGAAGAGGATCTCCACTCCCATGTGGTCGCTGAACTTCATGTACACGTCTAAACACACCAGGTTGTCCACCTCATGCAGGAAGCGCTGCTCAGAGAAGTTGCTGATCATCTCCATGCGGTGCATGGACACGCCCTGCCAGCAAGGGTAATTGCAGACCTCGAGGTCCACCACCCGCCAGCCTTCCTGCAGGAGGACGTTCGGGACGTCAGCATGCTGGTCAGTGAAGACTTAATAGTTGACCTTCTGTCCCACCATGAAGTACTTGTCTGCAGTCTCCAGGAACAGCTTCAGGAAGACTATGTATCTAAGACCAGGAAAGAGAGGGCAGGAGTTAAACAGAATGAACAGCAGCAAAAGAAGGAGACTTAGACAAAACTGTCTCATAAAATGGTAGCCATTCTACTCACTACAGACGATGTGGCCCAACGGTACCGGGCATATGCAGGGACATTCAAATTTGCTTGGTGAACAAATATTCACAAGAACAAGATATTTCATTTACCCATAAGTTTTGCAAAAGTGCAAAAAGTTGTTAATATCCAATGTTACTCTAAAGCTCTAGACCCTCCAACAGCTTTGTGTCTCTTAAGAAAAGAAAACAAAAAAGCCATTTGAGGCCCTATAGTGGTCTACCAGGTCCTACCTGGTTGGCTCTGACCTCTTTCCCCTTCTCTTAAGTCCCTCTTCTCTGGGCAGCCAACTCCTTGATGATCCAGACATACGCTACACATGCTCCAGGGCCTTTGCACTTCCTGTTCCCCCTGCCTTGAAGTCATTCTCTGCAATGCTCACCCCTACAGCTTTCATATCTCTGCTCCAAATCAGTTCACCAAAGAAGACCTGTTGATTGAAGCCCTGGGCTGCAGGTGCTCTATAGCTCCCTCTGCAGGTGCTCACGCAGAAGCGTGCAGATGTGACAATTCAGCAAGGTCTTGTGCTCAGATGTGTGTGTTTCCCTATGTGGAAACTATAACTCGATAAAAAAGAAAAAAGAGCAAACAGACACATACTTAAATAAATACCAACACAAGTCACTCTGGATCTCGTTATTCAGCCTTCGTTATGTTTTTAAAGTCCGTGTCACCCTCTGGTGTGTTTTGTATTTGTGTTTACTTGTTCTTCTGTCTTCTTGCACTAGAATATAGCTACATGAGAGCAGGGACTTTATGCGTTTGGTTGACTGCCTTTTCCCCATCATCTGGCACTTAATAGCTGTTTAATAAATATGTTTTGAACAAGTGAATAAGTGAAAAATTCAGTGCAGTTGAGGATGTGGGGACAAAGGACTCCTGCCCTGCTGGTAGAAATGTCAGTTGTTTAACCCTTTTGGAGGCCACTGGGAGAAACTCTATGTAGATCTTCAGTGCGCATGTCCTTCCCCCAACTCCACTTCCAGGCATATTCTCCACAGACCTACTCACACACGTGTACAAAGACCCAAGTATACAAGTTTACAGACAACTCACGTCATCACACATTGGTAAGCATGTGAGCAACTACAATTCCCAGGTATTGTTGGTGGGAATGTAAAATGCTACAGTCAACTTGGAAAAAGGCCTGGCAAAGGTTTTTGTCTTTTTTTAAATAAATCTAAACACACATGTAATCTTTGACTGAGCAATTCCACTCCTAAGTCTTTAACCAAGAAAAAATGTATCAGATGCCCACACAAAAGACTTCTTCAGCAACACTCATAGACGGTTTACGCCTAATAGCCAAAACTGGAAAAAACCCAGGTGCCCATCAAAAGGGGAATGGATAAACAAGCTGCAGTAAACCACACAACGAGGTACTACTCAGCAGGAACAAGAAAGTGCTACTGATACACGCAAAATCATGATGAATCTCAAAATAATTATGCTAAGGGAGACAAGGTTAACACAAAGAATACAGGCTTTATGATCCCAGTAGGTAAAAACCATCTCATGGGGGGGGGGAATCAGAAGAGTAGTTGCCATTGAGGAAGTTGGGCAGGGACCTACTGGGAAGGGGCATGGGGGAACTTTCTGGGGGTGATGGTGATTTCCTATGAGTTGATAGGGATTTCTGATACACAGATGTATGCATTTTTCAAAACTCAGCAAACACAGAATTAAGATATTGCTGTTCATTGTACATTTAACTTTCAGAGAAGGAACACTGTAAACACACACTGAGTTCTAGTTAAGGATTTGCACACGGACATGTTTAGGAGAAAGTGTTCTGTGGTCAGAGTCCTTGGGTGGTGCAATTGTTAACACACTCGGCTGCTAATTGAATGGTTGGAGATTGCAGTCTATCCAGAGGCACTGATCTCTTTTTTGGAAGTAGATCGTCAGGCCTTAAGAAAGGCCTGGCGATCTACTCTCAAAAAATCAGCCATTGAAAATCCTATGGAGCACAGTTCTGCTCTGACACACATGGGGTCACATGAGCTGGAATTGATGGGAGGACGACAGGTTTGATTCTGATATCTAGCTAAGCCTCAGTTTGTCTCCTGGTTAGGATGAGGGAGGGAGCACCCCTTATTGGCTGTGCATAGATGAAGCTCCCAGCACGCGGACTGGGACACCTAAGCGTTGTTGGCCTCACATCCCCGCAGAGGAAGCTGCCTGGTGACTCCAGGCAGAGGGGCTGCTGTTTGAGCAAGGGCTTACCTGGGCCATGGAGATCCCAGAACGTCCACCTATTGCAGAGCTGCTCTGCCTCCTCCCGCCGTGGTGAGCCAGCACCAGGACCGGAAAAGAGCGGCAGGAAGGAGCCTCCCGCCCACCCTGAGGGCCCTTTCTAGTTCTCCCTTTTCCTGCTCCGCCACCCCCAGACTTACATTTTGATGGCAAACAGAGTCAGCCCGATGGTGGTGTTTCTGAATGGCGTGTCCAGGATGGCAGAGTCAAAGGTCCCCTCCCAGATGATGGGGGCAAACCAGGGAGTTGTGACCAGCACGACTGTCCACCTTCGGGGACAAACCAGAGCGCACTAGAGCAGACAGGGAGAAAGGCGGCCACAGGGAGAAAGGTTTGTACAAAGAGACTCTGGGGTCAGTAGTCGCCTTAGAGTAGACACGGACTCCAGACTCCCAATTCAGTGCTCTCTCCGCTACCAGCTCAGAGGCTGAGACCCGACAGAACCGATGACTCATCTCGCCTCTCCTGCTTCTCTGGCTGGGGCTGAGAAAGCTTGGTGCCATACCATGGCGCGCCCCTGACCACCAGCCCTGTGCTGGATCCCAGTCTGTCAGGCAGGCCTGGGCTTGCCTCCCAACCTGCCCCGCACCAGCTGTGGGACCTTAGGTAGGTTCCTTCACCTCTCTGAGCCTCAGTTTCCCCACCTGTAAAATGAGGAATGATCAGGTGGTCACTAATCACCCTTCCCACACTGAAGCTCTGACGTATGGTGAGGCTGAGGGGAGCCTTAGGCACAGAGAGCTTGGCTCCTCTGAGCTCTGCTTCACATGGTTTTCTGGGTACCATGGCAACGGGCTTCTATAGAAGTGATATTTGAGATTAATGCCTGTAACGCAGAGAAAACAACAAAACATATAACTGGCTGAGGCCTAAAAGCAGGAATTTGGGGGGTCGGAGGCTCCTGGGGGGGTCAGGAAGGCCTGGTAGAAAGGGAGGACCAAGGCCCCTTCGCCCCTTCTTGTCCTCAGGGTCTCCCGTGTGTCCGGCCTCCTCAAGCCTCCTCATGATCCTCCTGACCAACCCCCACCTGAGACTCCACTGAGTCAGGGATGACTTTGGTGAGTCCTTCTGGGACACAAGGGCTCCATCTGCTGCTGAGGGGAGGGAGAAGAGAAGGTAATGAAAGCGTGAAGTTGTCATTAATTTGAAAAATAAAAATATATAGCCTTGTCATAAAAAATGCACAGCCCAGGTGAGAGTAGTGACAACTTCCGTGTATGACGCCCTTACCCAATTTCTCAAGAAATAAAGTATGAGACGTGGCAGCCACCACAAGTCAAGTACCCATCACCACTCCCTCCCACACCAAGCAGGATGATGTTAACAAGCTGAGGGCAATAGTGTCAGGAAGGGAAGGGAAGGAGGAGCAAGAGATCACACACTGGGTGCGGGTGGGAGGAAGACACTGCTGTGCAAGGTGCCCAGATCAATGACAAGGAAGTGAAAGGCATGGGGAGAGGAATGGAGGGGGTGGGGGCTTTCAGACAAAGGCTCTCCTGAAACAGAGAATGCTCACTGTCCCTGTCACTGGGGAGTGGAGTAGCTCAATCTGCCCCCTGGGAGCTGGAGGAGACATTAGGCCCCAGAGTCCCCTCCCCACTCTCACCCATGTAACAGGCCCCTCTTCTACCCAGAAGGACTTTGGCTGGTGATGGCCAAGACTCTTGAGGAGGTGGACAGATACCCTTTGCACAACAGCTTGTGGAAGAAAATGCTCAGCTCTGGGGATGGAGAGAAGGCAGAGGTTTCAGTGTGGAGGGAGTTCAGAGCCCCTCCCCCTCATGTGAGCAGCACTAGAGCAGCCACCAGCCCCACCTGCTCAGGGCTGTACGTTGCCCAGTCCACAGCTGCCCAGGTCCCCAGTCCAGAAACCTGAGGTTAGAGGAAGACCACCTCTTGTGCCTTGCTTGGAAGGAGGGAGAAAAAGAGAAGGTAGAAGCTGATGTTGACTTGGGGAGGGCCTGACAGGGAGCTCCACCACCCTGGACTGAGTGTTCGAGCTCTGAGCCACCCTCCTGGGAAACCCCATAGATCCGTCTCTACTATCTCCATGGAGTGGGGAAGTAAGAAGGCTAGAGCACACTTGGAGCTCTTCCATTCTTTCACTACAAAGCTTTCCCAATCCCTGCTGCCTTGAGGCTCTCTGCCAAATGCAAACAATGGTGGCTGACCTCCTTGCTATAGCAAGCTTTGAATAAATAGCTTCTGTTTGTCCTCATTTGGATTGTCTTTGCATATTTCTACAGACCCATCTCCCATCCCGCACAGACAAATTAGAAAAGATGGAGAAGGGAAGGGAGTGAAGAAGTTCCCCAGAGGAAACACACCTGTCCAGTCAGAGCAGTTTTACCCAGGTGTAGGCAAAGTGTCTGGTCGGTAGCAAGGACTGGTCGGCCTCTGCTGTATTCTCCCCGGTGACTTCTGGCGACCTTTGAGGTTTAAGTTCCTTGGTTGGTTTGGAGGCAATGGTGTTAAAGGCGATGGAGGTGCCAGGTATCCTCTTCAGTTGAACCCCATTGAGAGACTGCCCAGGGAGTTTGCACTTCTCTGCCCTCTACTATATGAAATCTTCCTGGCCCCATTTGCCAGCCATGCACAGGAGCGGGGACTGGGAGCTGATCTTCATGCTCACATGAAGTTTAGGGACCACAGCTCGGCCTCTGGGGGTTTCAGCATCAGTCCTTACATTCAAGTTCATTCAGGTTCCTTCTGGCACAGCTGAAGACAGATTTCTTCTGAGAATCTTGAGGAACCTTCCAGTGGACCCCTGAGGGTCCTGGGTCATTCCAGGGGGAGAGGTTGGGGTCACACCACAGGGAAAATTCTGCTGGTCACACACCTGTCAAGATGTCCAGCATGCATGCAGTTTCTATTGGACACATCCTGGGGAAAACTGGTTCTGCCTGCGGCTCCCTCCACCAGGGCAGCGATGTGGTGGGCTGACGAGGAAGCCATAGAGACATGCTGGACTTCTTTGCTTCTGGGGTGCTACACCTTATAAATACTCTTTCGGCAGCACAACCCAGATGCCTGGGCCAGCTGCACTGGGGCCAAATGGCATTCTTGGTGAAGCAAAAGCAGGGCTGGGGAGTCTGAGGAAGAGAAGCCCTGGAGGTCCTGGACTCTCTCATAGTTAGGTTGTATTTGCTATTCTAGGTGGAGGTCTGGCCGAAACTAGCCTCAAAATAAGGAGATTCTTGCTTTGATTTGTACTGGTTGAGAACTCTCGCTGTGCACATGGTTGGTCTTCTCCTCCTTTAGGCGACATAGGGAGCTAGCAGTTTGAGCCCTGGTCCATCAGTGAGGCCCAGATCTCTTCCATGTGTAACCCATGGACACCATCGACTCAGGTTGCCAGGGTCCTTGTAGTCAGTGAGTAGCTCCATGTAAGGCTTTAGTTCATAATCTTTATGGCCCACATTCATCCATGGAGCTTTGATGATTTGCTTTGAAGTACTGCTCTTAGTGGGACTAAGGATGAGACATTTCTTGAGCAGATTTTCACACTCCATGAACATATAGAAGGGAAAATGATATTTTCCATTCAGCAGCTGCTCCTGCAGCTACCTGAAGTTCCATCCATCAAAAGACAGGCGCCTTCTGACAAGTGTATATACAATGACTCCCATGCTCCACATATCCACTGTGGTTTTATCGTACTTTTGGCCCTAGAAGAGTTCTGGGGCAGAATGATGAGGACTGCTACAAAAGGTATCCAGCTGTTTGCCAAAGGCGAATTTCTTGAGGAAGACAACATCTGCAATCTCGATGTCATAACAGCATCCAAGAGCAGGTTTTCTGCTTTTAACTCTATGCACACTAATCTTCTGGTGACTGTACTGCAGAGCAGACACTGGCAGAATTTAGCTTGGGTCACTTTTTCTTTCCCATTTCCATGAGCCTCTAGGTAATCAAGCACTTTCCTCCATTAGTGTATGCCATAAAAAGTAGAGTTATCTCAGTCTTGAGCTCTTCAAATAACTATGTTGGGATGATTCAATGTCCTCGTTATTCTTACTTCATGGGAGAGTTTCAAAAGGCAGGAGAAGTTCTGTTTAGTCTTGCCAATGATCTTGACCCTGATGCTCAGCCAAGCTTGGATCAGCCTGATCTGAGCTACCGCCTCTAACCTCAGGGCCAGTACCAAAGGGTAAATTTTAATGACAGTAAACAAAATTTTTGAGGTGAACCCTGATATTGGGTCAAGCTTGAATTCTGACTGATCCTACCCTCTATCCCCATGGTCCCTACAAAAGAATGTACTGGGGCAGATTCTAACCCTGCACCAAGCTTAGATTATGTCCAGCTTGAGCTACAGCCACTAGCCTCAGAGCTATTTCCAAATACTGAAACAACAGATAAGACAGGAGGTTAGAATAATTCATAAGAGAATGGGCAAAGCAAAGGGAAAGAGAAAGGAATTCCTCCCAGCGGGGTGGAGATCTTTAACGAGTTATTAAGAAATGGGAGGAATAAAATGAGTATCGATGGGGTCAAACAAATTTTTCTTAGTGCAGCACCCTCACAAGTTGGGTAGTTCTTACTCAACAGTGAAGGACCCTAAACAAAGCTGTTTTATTGTCCCTAGTGAGGAGGGATTTAGAAAGGTGCAGGACAAATATGACAATGAGAAACTTGACTTCCTATTGCCTGGGGTGATAGTCCCAAATCTTATTTTGTGAATTCCTATCACTGGTTTTTTGAGGAAGCTCATTAAAATAGGTTGTGAGAGTGGCTACGTGAGGATCAGTCTCACTGGTTTAGAATACAGGTAGTCCCTGACTTAGGATTCCAGTGACGATGAACCGCTCTTACGACTGTCCTTTTTTTTCTGTAGTTCTTATTGTTAGTAAT